GGCTGTATTTCAGTGATTATTTAGGCAATTTTGACATGTTTTATTTCACTGTTTTAAGCTAGGTTTGATTGAGTTCTCATTTGCCTTCATGTACATGCCATGTAAAACCTTGCTTGCTAGCCAATGCTTGCATGCTATTTAGCCCATCATGTTAGCATCTTTTGCCATGCTCTAAACATAGAAAAACTGAACTTTTGTGCATGTTTTGCGGAACTGCCTTGGCTTTGTTTTTTGATTCATGATGAAATAGCTGCTTGATTTGTATTACTTGTGGCTTCAATACATGTGGCCTAGTTTTGAGTTTCGGGGCTTTCTCCCATGCATCAGGTGCCATATTTCCATGTTTCGGACCATTAGCATCATGTTTCAGTGCTGAAATTTACATGTTTTGGAATGCCATCTTGTATCCCTAGTCAGAGCCTCGCGTTAGGTGCGTATTTTATGCCTTAGGTTCGGTCCTCGGTTGCGTGCATGTGTGCCACGCATTTCTGGCGTCTCATTTTCCTCTAATGCCCTGATTGATGTAGTGTAGCTGAGGTCCACTCATGTTGTGTAACTCCATTATGCATTGTGTATGCCTTTTCAATTCATAGCATTGCGTTGCTAGTTGCGTGTTAGCAGCATTTGTATGCCATTTAATATCGAGCCATTGTGTATGCCATTTCATAGGCATTGCGTATGCTTAAGGTTGTATAGTTAGGTCGCATTATGTATGCCATTCTCATTTGCATGTGTTTGGGATAGGAGTTAGCCCAAGCATGGGAAACGAGGGACGTTTCGTACTCCGAGTGACGGAACGTGTCTCCAATTCCCGGTCGCCGACACTCCGGATTACCATGATGGAGTTAGGCTCTTATCGCTGTTTTTATATGTTGCAATCTTATCACATTGATAGTGCAAGTTGAACTCCTCGGCCTTCATGCATCGAGATGCGGATTGGTGGCACGAGGATTCGGGACTACACTCCATTGAAGCAGTAGTCATGCATACAATGTGAAAATACATTTCTGCGATGCCCTTTGTTGCTCTCTGTTGCAGCAAATCATAAATCAATAACCTTCTGGAGCTTTGCACAATAATTCCTGGAGAACAATTTGCGAACAGAGGCAAACCGCGGGGCATCGTAAAGAATT